GGGGGTGGGTGGGGAGCTTTCGGAGAGGACAGGGTGCAGCTTGGCTATGGAAGGCTCCAATGGCTTCGGGATCGACTCCATCCTCTCCCACCGCGCAGGCAGCCCCGCCCTTCCCAAGGGGGACCCCTTGCTTGGGGACTGCCGTTCACCCCTGGAGCTGAGTCCCCGCTCGGAGAGCAGCAGCGACTGCTCTTCGCCAGCCTCACCAGGAAGGGACTGTCTGGAGACGGGCGCCCCGCGGCCTGGCGGGGCATCGGGCCCAGGTCTGGACTCCCACCTGCAGCCGGGGCAGCTCTCAGCCCCAGCCCAGTCGCGGACAGTGACCTCCTCCTTTTTGATCAGGGACATCCTTGCTGACTGCAAACCACTGGCAGCCTGCGCGCCCTATTCTAGCAGCGGGCAGCCGGCAGCCCCTGAGCCAGGGGGCCGTCTTTCGGCCAAGGCGGGGGAGGACTTTAGAGACAAGCTGGACAAAAGTGGTAGCAACGCCTCGTCAGACTCTGAGTATAAAGGTAAGAAAACGGGAGGTGAAAACTTGGGGGGTGGGGATGCTATATTTCTTAAAACTTCAGCGCACACACGCGGGGATGAGCACACGCTGGCTTGGAGCCCCAGGGCCCAGCCGAGCAGTCGGTCTTGTCTGAACCTTCCCGCCAGCCCCTGGCTATGCCTTTGAGCAACAAAGAGCCCAGTGGATCCAGTGGGGAGAGGGAGGCTGTGTGCCCCAGGAGAGATCCCCCCAAATGCACAAAGCAAACTTTCCAAACTTCAGCTGGGTCTACCCTTCTGGGGGTGCTGGTGGGCAGGAGCAGGCTCCTATCTGGCCAGTGGGTAACTGAGAAAAGATCTCAAAACAACAGAAGACCCGGAGGGCTCTGCTTGAACGCCCTTTTTATAAGAGTGAAAACCTCGCAGGAAATTTCAGCAGGAGCACCGAGGGCAGTCAGAAATGTCCACCCTTTAATTTGAATTTCCAGAGGGGAAGAGAAACCAGGCTTTGCCTTCCGTTGGGCCCAGTGCGGTCTGGGCCCTGTGAATCTCGCTGCGAAAGGGATTCTCACTTCAAAGCAGAGCCAGCAGGCAGGCTGGCTGGGAGCAGGGTCAGAGGTCTAGTGAGAGGGGGACCCTGCACCCACCCAGCGCTTCTCACGGAATTTGATTTTTAAAAGAATTCAGCAATCGATTTCCGGTTGTGTGGGACCCAGGGGTTCCCCAGTGACCAGCCCCATTCCCTCCCTTTGGGGTCCCTGGCCCTTCACTTGCCTTCACCTCCGTGAACCTTTTCGTTGTGGTTGGCTTTCAATCCCGTCTCAACCAGGCAGCTGAGATCAAGATTAACGGGGGGAGGAGGGGAAGGAGGGAAAGAAAGAAGGAAGGAGAAAGGGGTACCCTAATTTTATTTCCCGCCCCCGGGCACCTGCCTGGACTTTAGCTCTTTGATGAGGCCAGAGGCGCAAAGTTCTTTCCAGGAAGCAGCCGGGAGGCAGGAGGGGAAGGACAGTCAGGGCTCGAGCCGAGGGAGAGAGTGAGGTGTCCCCATCCAGCAGAAAACTGGGGACTGGCAGAGGCTCTTCAGAGCTTTCAGCCTTATCATTAATTCCCGAACCCTTTTTCGTCAAACAGAACTTCCCTCTGAAGGCAGCTGCTCTACTGTCGTGGGGCCCTGCACCTCCTAGCCCCTATTTGTACTCAGTCCTCACAAAAATATAGGAGGGCTCATTTAACACTCTCCTTCCAGCCAAGAATTCGTTGTGGACATGCCCTGACCTCAAACCGAAACCCATCGGGGCCCCGCTGCACACCTCGCTGCCCTCCGCTCGCTTCCCCAGGCGCCGCCGAGCGGAGCGGAGCCGCCGGCAGCCTTGCGGGGCCCGCCGTGCCTACAACACGGGCAGCTTGCGCCTGAGCTCCCAGGAAGGGGGTCCGGGGGCACGCGGCCCGGAAACCCTGCTTCTCCCCCAGGGGCTGCTTACAGAGGCAAAGGAAGCCTGCCCTGGAGAAAGACAGGTGTAGGGCAAAGGGCAGAGAGGCAACCGAAACACGTATTTATAACAATGTTGCATTATTTGTGATTCTCAGCAACACCCCGCTCTGTGGTTAGAGTGAGGGCAAGAATCAGCAACACCGGGCGCTAAGGGTGATGTTCCTGCTGGTGAGAGAATTTGACTCCTGTCTCCTTTTATTTGGGATTTGGAGGAGAGGTTTCGTTTAAGATAATTGGAATATCAATTTCCTCCTCCTGTCCCTGATGATATCTGATCAGGGAGGTGATGAGGGCCGGCTGTCCACATCTCGATTAAATAGGTTTGGAGTGGAGGAAGGTGAAAGGTCCCCCCCACCCCCACCCCTAGGCGGTGCCGCCAAGCGGCCCCCCCAGGTGAAAAGGGAGTGGGGACGTCCACCCCCAGAGTCCACGTCTGGAGCATTTCTCAAACGTGGAGGTGACTTTTTCTGGGCCCAGTTAGGAAGCCCGGCGGAGAGATAGACACACCAAGCCAGCCCCGGTGGGCATCCCCCCACCCACCTTCCATGCTGAGTCATTTTCTCCAAGGAGAGCCTGGTCAGTGGGTCCCTAGTTTCTGCTATCGAAGGCTCCTTAAGATAACATTTAAATTAAGAAGCTACAACTGGGCTTTGAAGCAAGGCGGTCTGCCGGACTCCAGCTGCTAGAGCCACCGGCTAAGAAACCCAACTGGCACTTTGCTCCAAGGACACTGGTGGGGGGGGG